TCGAACATTGTGTATATCATGAAGAATGGCTGAAAGAAGAGTTTTATTCGAGTGAAGTCATATAACCTGTTTGTGAAAAAATGATTTTTTTTTGGAAGTTTCAAGCTCATCAAGATCAGACTTCATGCAAGTATATTTCTCCAATACATTTCAATTTCCATTTCAATACTGAACATATTGGTAAGTTATATTTTCATGTCATAATACATCATATTATTCTATTCGATTTGAAAGATAATGTCAATTCTCAATTTCAGAGGATTTTAATTTCTCATGCTCTCTTTTTGGATATTCAACAGATATAATTCAATGTTCGACATGGCAATTACCAGGAAAGTAGTTGTTTTCTGTTGAATATTCAGAATTATATTATATGCAAATTCTCTACTTCAGAAGATTTTATTTTCAAATTCTTATCGTGTGTGTTCAATAGATGTAATTCAATATTCGTCGTGGCATATAGCCAGGAAAGTAGTTGTTTTCTGTTGAATAAACTGAGAAAGAATTAATATTTTCATCACATGGAGAGTACAGAATCTCAATGTATTTCTTCATATACCGGGTGGCTACGAAAGTATTGCCTACGGAATATCTCAGTTATTGTATGAAGTAGGTTTATGAAATTTGATATAATGACATAAGAGCTAGAATTCGAGCATATTGACATGTCGAAGTTAACTTCCGGTCTGACCGGAAGTAACATCAACTTTCTTATTTTAAATGGAAACCCTATTTTATAGATATAGATATTTTCATGAACGATGCTCTTCTGAAATATCAACAATTGTTCCTCCCTTGGCAGTCCCCGCGAGATTAACCCGTCACGTTGAGGCCTCACATTTTAATTATAGTTTATTTCTATAAAATATCAGTTAGGAATAAATTATTCTTTACAACCTTTTTGGTTTTTTACATCAATATTTCATTTATTCATTTCCATAACTACTAAAACAAATACAAGAAAGTATAATATGATTTGAATACAATATTATTGATTCAACACCCCTCCATAATAATATTGTTCGGCACATAGAGTAACCCAAGTCGTGATCTTTGTTTTTGAAAAGCTGGTCCTAACAAACCCTTTGTCATAATGTCTGCTTGTTGATCACTAGTAGGAATATATTTGATTTCTATCCATTCTTGTCGTACAGCATCCCTGATGAAGTGATGTTTGATATCTATGTGTTTTGTCCGCTTATGATGTTCTGGATTCTTAGCTATCTGAATTGCACCTTCGTTATCTTAAAAAATAGCTGTTGGTTTTGGCACATGGAATTTAATATCATTAATAATATTTTGTAACCATATTGTTTCACATGTAGCGTTGGCCAGAGCCATGTACTCGGCATCGGTCGATGATAAGGCTACCAGTTGGCTGCTTTTTGGTTTTCCAGGATACTATACAATTATGCACTTTGAACAAATAACCAGTAGTAGACCTTCTGTCCATTATATCACTCACCCAATCGGAATCTGAATATCCTTCCAATATCTGTTGTGAAGTGTCCTTTCTGAAAACCAGCTTCAAGTCCAGACCACCTTGTGTATATCTCAAAACTCTCTTCAGTCCCTTTCAAGCTGATTCATTTGGACAATTTTGAAATCTGCTGTAGAAATTCACAGAAGTACAAAGGTCCGGTCGTGATCCCAACATCGCGTACATCAAGCATCCGATCAATTGCTTACACGGTTTATCAAACGGAATTACATTATCTTCTATGGAAATTCGCATTTTTGTGTTCATTGGTGTTGACACTGGATGACAGTTCTGCATGTCAATACGTTTCAAAACATTGATCAAATACTCCTTTTGACTGATATACAGAGCATTTGTATCTCTTTCAATCTTCAGTCCTAAGAAATTCTTCAACTCTCCAATATCAACCATTTCAAATTCATTTCGTAGTGAAATTCTGAGTCTTTGAATTTCTTTCTCATCTTTCGAGCATAAGATTATATCATCCACATAATGAACAAGGAAGATTGATATACCTTGCTCAATCTTTATGTATAAGCAATGGTCAAACTCCGACTTCCTGAATTTCAAAGTTATGAAATTTTCAAATCGTTCATTCCAGCATCTGGGAGACTGTTTCAGGCCATATAAAGATCTTCGAAGTTTGCATAATAGTCCTCTTTTGTTATCGAAACCGTTTGGTTGGTACATATATATATCTTCTTTGAGAAACCCATTCAAAAATGCAGTTTTCACATCGAGTTGATGTAGAAACATATCATGCTGTATAGCCAACGCCAGGAGTATTCTTATTGTTGTGAGCTTAACAACAGGTGCAAAGGTTTCGTTATAGTCCAAACCTGGTTTTTGCAGAACTCCTCTCGCTACTCTACTCGCTACTAGCCGAGCTTTATACCTGGGTTTGCTATTTTCAATCGGTTTTCGTTTGAACACCCATTTGAAGCTTATCACAACAGCATTTTCAGGTGGTTCTACCAATGTCCATGTTTCATTTTTGGCTAGAGAATGCATTTCTTCCCGAGCAGCATTCCACCATTCAAATTTGTCTGGATAATTCTTCAATATCAGCTGGAACGTTGTCGACAAATAATTCTGCGCATAGAGCAAGGCATGTGAAATCATTCATCCATACTGGAGGCTCTTTGGATCTGCTTCAATACCCTTTTCTGTTTGCACTGTCACTTCTGACATTTTTCCTTCAAATTCGTTTTCATTGGAATTTTCATGCGCTACTTCGAATGTATTTCCGTCTCGATCGTTCTTATTGATCTTGAACCATTCACATGAGGTATCATTTGACCAATTTTCATCGAATTTTACATCATGTGCTGAAATGATTTTCCTTTTTTCTGGATCCCAAAGATGGTTACCGTTGGCCGTGCATCCAATCATGCACATTTTATTAACTTTCGAATCCATTTCTCCTCGTCTATCTTTTGGAATCAGAACATAACATGAACAACCGAAAATTCTAAGTTTCGAAACATCTGGTTTAGTGCCATACCAAAGTTCAGCTGGTGTATATTGTTGAAGATATGATGTGGGACTCCTATTTATCAGATATACTGCTGTTTGTATTGCTTCAGACCAAAGGAATTTAGGTAATTTCGATCCTGCCATCATGCACCGTGCTTTTTCCAAAATAGTGCGGTTCATTCTTTCGGCTACTCCGTTTTGTTCTGGAGTTTGGGGTATAGTATATTCCGTCATAATTTCCTTTCCTTCACAAAACTGTTTGAAATCTCGAGAGCTGTATTAATTCCCCTCCATTACCAGATCTCAAACGAGATATTCTGCTGTTGAAGTGTGCTGTTACCCAAGCTTCATATATCTTGAAATACTTCAATACTTCGGATTTCTTTCTCAAAATATCCACGACGGCAAAATGAGAAAAATCATCGATAAACGTAAGGAAATATAATTTTCCGTTCCAGGAGCTACGAGTAATTGGACCACATACATCGCTGTGAATGAGTTCCAGCTGTCTGGTGGTTTTTGTTCGTTATTTCCTATGAGGCAACTTTGAGTGTTTTCCTTCCACACATGTCTCACATAGTTTGGAATCATTATCAGGTATCAAATTCATTCCATCAACCATTTTTTCATTGAACAGCTTCAGCAGATTTGTGTTTCCAATATGTCCAAATCGTTGATGCCATAAATTCATGTTTGATGGAACATTGTTACGAGAATGAAAACAGACATAATACCAGTTCATACAGTCTATCATTTCTTTTGGCTATGGCAACAATTTCATTATTTCGTATGATTGATGCTGTCGCTTTTTCGAAAACTATTTTATTTCCAGACATTTCAATTTTCCTAACAGAGAGCAGATTCATCTCCACATGTGGAACGAAAAGGACATTCTTGATGTTGTAGGTTTTCTTCGATCCATTTACAATGGCAAATGCTTGAATCGTCCCCATCTTGGTAGTTCCACACTTTGGCCTGATTTTGCAACTGCGATTTTAATTGAATTTTCCAAATTTTTTACTGAAGAAAAGTATTCTTTCTTGTTGACCAGATGTTCTGTTGAACCAGACTCCAAATACCAATGGATACAATTAGAATCAGATTTAATCAAACTTGACGACTCATTGAAAGCAGCGAAAGATATAGGAGAATCCGAAGAATCAGTTTCATCATCTGATTCAATAACGGATACATCTGCTCGTTTGCTCGATCGATTTGTGCCATCTTGTATGTGGTTTTCTAGAGCTGGAATTACCTGCTTCAGTATCCCTCTTCTTGAAAAAACAGTTTTTTTCTCGATGGCCAATTCTTTTGCAATAATCGCATTTATATTTGGGAGAATTACTTGAAAATGCTGCAGGCGTAGAAGGTTGAACTGTCTGGACTTCAGAATGACTATTGCTTCTTTTCAACTCGTCATCTAATAATCTTCCCTTGACAAAATTGAGACTGAGTTCATCATGTACAGTCTCAAGGGCTGTAACCAATACTTCGTATTCCTTGGGCAAAGTGATAAACAGATGGCAGATTATATCCAATTCTTCCATTTTCGTACCAGCAGCCTTCAATTCTCGTATGATCTTGTCAAATATCAGAAAATGATGCTGAAGAGAGTCTCCTTCGAATTTCAATGTCAATAACTTCTTCTTGAGGTATATCTGATTGGCGATACCTCTACGTTCAAAAGTTGACTGCAAAGTTGTCCAAATTCTCCACGAGGACTTCTTGTCTTTGACATACTCAAGATGACTGTCACATATACGTTGAATTATTAGTGACTTGCATTTCCTTTCTTTAGTTATGCTTGTTGGGTAAACTGCTAGCGACATCTAGACAGGTTTCATGTATCACACATATGGCGTGAATTACAGATCCGAAGAAAGAGTAATGGGAAGATGAAAGAGTGTCGACAAGCAAATAGGAGAAGCAATAACATGGTGATCTGCGGTCGAGGGTGTCAAAGCTCAAAGCCATAGGCGGGGATGGAACAATGTGTGACGTCATCGACAGCAGAGAGCGCTTGTCGCACGGCCAACTGAGCGGCAGAGCCGTCAGTTCAGTCATGCAGTTCGTAGCGAGAGCACGTTCCAGTCGAATATAGTTGCGCGAGTGAACCAGTGAAACGATAACTTATAGAGAAGTTGATGACGTAAGTTTAGTGAGTGTTGAAGCTGATTGAAACGTATGGAACATTAGTATTCATAATGTTGACTTCAAACAATCAATATTTGAGACCTGAATACTTGACACCTCTTCCTACCACTGTAAGTAGAAATATTTGATTATCCATACTGACCTCCAACATTGACACTCTTCAACTCTATCCTGGACTGTAACTAACTTTCTCATTTCATGATCTTTTTCAAATAGATCTACATTAATTGAGTAGATATAATTATTTAATGATGTCTTGAGATCGATTTCTGCTGGTTTATATACACTTTGAGGTACCATACTATACTTGCCTACCTTTTCATTGGCCAATCATCTAGGTAGATTTTCCTACACATTTATCTGTTTCGCGAAGAGGAATACTCTCAATATACTCTTGATAGACAGTCTTATCGTGATTCTAAGTAAATATTCACAATATTGATGCAATCATCACTTTATCAGGCAATATTATTGACTCTGTTATTCTTATCTTTTCAGCTGGATGCAAAAAAGAGTCCATTGGCTTTATTAGCCCAAACATGCAGTCAAATTGGAGCCGACGCACCGAATTCTAAGCTCTTGCAGAGTTCCGAGAAGAGCAACAACAAAGCTGTCAAATCTGATAGTCAGAAAGAGAAACTTGATATCTCTCATAAGACTAATAATTTCAAATCTGAAATTCCTTCTCCCAGAGAAAAATCAAGAACACCTGAAGAGCGATCCAATTCTGCTTCGAATGGAAGTCGTGTTCGTACCCCTGTGAATACGAAACCTCTTTCAAATGGTCGATGCTCGAGTAATATGAGCAGTTCTTCACCAAGGAATTCTCCATGTGGTTCTGAGCACAAGACTCCACCAGCCGAAGGAAACGGAGAAAGAATGAGCACTCCTGAGAAAAATAGTGATAGGCATACCCCTCAGACTCCATCATCTTCTGCGTGTAAAACAGCTTTCACACCGAATATCCTCACGTCCTCTTCCGATCCAGCGTTCAAGGACCTTCCTCTTGGTACCTTCAAACCAGGAGTACCTCCAACGACGTCTTCCTATCTTGGATATCCAGCTCCAGGTTACCCGTTGTCCATGGACCTGATGGCCAGTACGTTGATGAGCCAGCATCATGCAGCTTTGAAAAATGGTTTGAGTCCGTATTTTGGTTACGGAAGGATGAAAACACCAGAAACTCTCTCTTCCGTGTGCCGTGATCCTTATTGTACAGGATGTAGTGTTAGTTCTCATCTCCTGGGTGCCACAAGTGCCGCGAAAATGTCATGTCCCGCCGGATGTACACAGTGTGATCATGCCAAGACTCCTACGACTGTGGGATACATGAACCACAGTCCAGCAGCCGCAGCCTACGCCCATGCACAACTGGCTGCTCTCGCTGCAGCTTCACACTTACCTTATGTGTGTAACTGGATATCGGGCGATGCTAGTTACTGCGGAAAACGATTTTCGAATTCTGAGGAGCTTCTCAATCACTTGAGGACACATACAAGTGGATCTCTCTCGGATACTAGCTCCGCGCTGTCGATGTTGGGATCACCAGGGCTGCCTCCGACACATCCATTGTTACACAGAACATACCCCACTCCACCACTCAGTCCATTGGCCACAGCTAGGTATCATCCGTACAGTAAAGCATCCTTATTACCTCCGTCTCTGAGTTCCTCTTCCTTAGCAGGATTTCCTCTTGGTCATCCCGGTCTTTCTCCTTACCTGTCACCTTATTCGCTGTATGGCCCCCGATTAGGTGCTGCGCCAGGCATGCATCCATAAGGACATTCCTCTCACACGAAGCCAAATGATAAGATGCTGTGTTATGATAGACTGTAATAACCTAGTCTCTAAAGATTACATAATGGACTATCAAATCACTTCGTTTCATCCGGTGTATTCTTGTGTGGACGTGACAGTGTGATATTATTTTTAATGTACATTTTCAATGACATTTCGTTTTCATTTTGTAAATAGATGATTGTTGATAGGTATGGATTGAATCTGATAATGGTTAATTTGGAATTCAGAATGTATATTTGTGTACAGATCTCAACTGAAGAAATATTTATTGCTACCTATGACTATAGAAATATATTTTTCTCTGTTCATCAGTCAAGCTGTAGAATTTGTCATTATAACGTACCTATATCTTCGTGTTGTGAATTTTTTATCATTTTGCTTTTTTCATCATCCAAGATTCAGAACAAAGTCTTATTTCATCAAATTGGTATGTGATTACTTACTCTGGTTTCATCGAATCTTTTTTTTATTGATATTTCTCATTGTTTGTTCATGAGTAGGTAATTTATCAACAAAACATACCTATTTATAATATGAGTATAGTTATTTTTGTACTATCATGTAACGATATCGAATTCTCAGTAAAAATTTAATGTGTGAATTAATTACTTAGGCAAACATAAATACCTACATGAATAATTCCAATTCAGAAAATCTGTCGACTGAGAATATTTCTTGAAAAATTAAAACAAAATATTTGAAGACAAATTTCTATATAATCAACAGATTTGATTTCAATGATGAACAATGTTTTCAATAAGTATCTTGTACAAACTGTTCGTCATATCATTATTGTAATAATCCTTTTATTTGACCTCTTTATATTCTATATTGTTGAATCTCAATGTGTTGTTTTATTTCTTCATCTTTCAGAAAATATATTTAATATTCAAATTAGACTTTTTTCTATGAATCCCATATTACTCATCTAGTGAAATATAGAATGTCACGAATATCATTTCTTGTATTTTGCTTAAGGTGGAATAATAGTGAAATCAAGGGACTAAGCATATAATCTTCCTATCAGATGTGTTAAGTGAACAGCTAAATCCGACTTCAATATGAGAAAGATGATTTTCCCGCAGGAAATTATTCTCATCTCCATTTGAATCGTCGAAATCGAAAATCAATTATGAGGTGTTGTAGTGTTGATATAAGATCAATGATTTATTTGCATTCTTTCACAATAAGGAGTGATGGTAAGTATTGGTTTAATTGTGAATTCTTGGTGATCACATGAAATATTATCAATAAACAAGCAAGATACTGTAAAATACACTATCACCCTGGAATTATTCTCATTTTGAATAAATGCTTGCAACATCTTGTGTATGTAGCTTTTCACAAACAATGTGTTTATTAAATTCGATTATATCAATCAGATCGAGATCGAGCCAGATGAATATCTTTGAATATACTGATAGGGTTTGTTGAGTGAAGTAAAGTACCTATATGGTTCATAGGACTTTTCCTACTTCGCAATGCATATAAAATATTAGTATCAATGACTTAGAACTCCCAAATATAAATAATTTCGAGACCATAATAATTACTCATTCTATTTCCATATATTATGTTGATAATAAAATACATTTCGAAGTGAAGCGATATATATTTCATTCCAAGCATTTAACTCGGACGCAATACAAACTGTTTTTATTTCAAGTTCTCAAGCGTTCACGAGCATTCTTTGAATTGCGACAAAGATTAAGAGCCATAATTTAACTTTTCATCAGCCATAAAACAAAAATAATTAGGACAAAATAACGAGTCTAGAGAGTCATCTATCTAATTCTAGAATAGATCCAACTACCGCAGCTGCCGATTTCGTACTGCAGAGAGGCATAAATTTTCCTTAGTGTCGACAGCTGTCTCTGTCGATCTTCCCGAGCTCAAACAAGCTCGATCCGAGTAAGCGGTGACGTGTAGAAAAAACCCGCAGCCTTTCAAGTTTCTCAAGAACACATTAATAGGCATTTAGCTGACAACAGTAGTGACATATTTATGATTCTTGCGCTCACATATATGAATGTTTACCATACATTAAGGTAATTTATTTCTATTCCAGTTGGCATTTCTATTAGTCTATAACTACTTAGGCTACTAGTGACGAGATTTATAAAGGAACTTTCTATAGTTAATTCCAAAGCAAAGGTTAAATGTCTGTATATTTTATAGTTTTTATTATCGTATAAATTATCGATGGTCATATGTTACTTTGATGGTTATTTTCTTTCATTTTATGGCGTAGTAAAATAAATTATGTTGGCAACACACGGTTTTACGGCTCTGGCAATTTGGAAGGCGTTGTTGTCTTTTATGTTGGGGAATTTCGCACCAAAGTAACTTGGAGTAGAGTATAATGGTATAATGCGATTATTTGGGAACAGAAGTGTATCTACTCAATACAGGTCAAGTATAGATGAATTATCACAAACTCAACTTTACATTCAGTATTTCATTATCTATCAAGCTTCAAAAGCGCTAGTCACAGTGCCGGTTTCAATTTCTACACCTCCTCCTAAATACAATTCAATTCCACGCAAAAAAATGCAACGGGTGGCATGAAAAAAACATTCATTAAAAGAAATGACCATCCATCTAGAAAAACCAATAAAATTCCACTTTTCTAGCCTTCCTATTGGCCAACTCTTTTATTAGGATTTCAAAGTCGATATTTTCAGCAGTTTCATTTTCGATTGATGAAGTTGCCTAGTTTGTCAATCTAGATTGAGATATTGTCGATCGCAGATTGATTTTCATCAGCTCAAGCTTAAGAAAACTCCTCTCCTCACTATAGCAGTCATCACAGGTATATTCACAATGCTATATCAATACATTTGCCTACGCCTACAGTTCTCTTCAGTTGCGATCTTTGATAAAATTTAAAACATAAGCAGGGGTAGCCACATTCTGATTAGGCAGAAAAGATGACAGGTTTACGACTTCATCACACAACATGAACCATCTATGTCTCATTCAGAGTCAACACTCAATTTGAATTGGAGATCACCCTCGAAATCACCACAGAATTTTGAGACTTTAACAAGATCGGGTTTATTCGGAATCTGTTTCATATTGTACAAATAAGACCGAGATTCTGAGTACTCATTCAACTGTTCAAATCTTTCATCAACTGGAATAAAGTTGAGTCCAGGAGAGATTTAAAAATTTCAACCTTAAATTCCTGTTGTGGCTGTAAACATAGGTTCAATTTCTAGTTCGAAACCCTCAACTTGAAGATGGAACAAAAAAAAACAAAATCGAATTTCACATTTAATTAATTTCGTTTCACTTCTCACCTATATAATGTAGGTACTCATATGTATACCTGTGTCTGAGTAGAATGAAATAAAATTAAATGAATAGGAACATTCTATGAATTATCTTCACAAAGTTTATCATATTGTTAGCGATGAAAGAGAGGATGATACCCATCATCAGTTGAGAATGAAAACATTGTCATACAAGGGAGTTCACATCTAGAAAATGGTTGAAATACTGTCACGTTTAAATCTCTAGGGGTAGAATTGTAAGTACCCATAATCCTTCCCGAGACATTCAAACCTATGACCAGTGAGGGGTTACTCGCTTGGCAGCAGAATAATGGGGCTAGATTTAACTTAACAAATTCATGAATTTTTATTCAATCATAAGCTCACATTGGGGTGTAAATTGAAGGACTACAAAAATGAGTGAAAAATACAAAAACAAAAGATGTCGAGCGTCAACGAGACAAAATAACCAGAACACATAGTATATGAGGTAATATAAAAATGAAACATAAATATAACATAGAAATCATGTACTCACCAAAGAGCGTGCTTCTCCATGGGGGTGGAACTCGAGGGGCGCGGTGTGTCGAAAAACTAAACTTACTTCAAGAATGAAACGCGTGATCGCACTACTCGCGATCCCTAATCGTAATGCCGGCTTTTTCATCAAACTCGATATTCCTTGTTTCGAAAAATACTCCGTCAGCGATAATTTACCCGATCATAGGTGCCAGCGACCTGGTAAAAAGATTGCAAATCAAAATAATACTGATTGAAATTGGATTCTTGATTTCCTGGCAACTACGATCGACTGAACTGTCTTCCGGAAATGTAAAATTAGCTATGAAAAATATATTTACTGGGAAAAGACTAAAAATTGGAATTTAAAATAACTGAATAAAATACGAATGATCATTATATCTTGACATATTTCCCCCCACCATGGAAAAGCTGGCCCCTCAGCTTTGAGGTTACCTAAAAATTGAGAGCAGATGAAAAAAAAGGGAAAAAAATCAATGAATGAAAACCAAGGTCTATCAATGAATAATAAAAAAAATGATAATATAAAAAAAAAACTAATGTCTTTCATTTGAGTCCATCACAACATAAGTCAAGGAGCTTGAAAAATTAAGTCCAGCCCTGTCCACTCACAAGATAAGTCAAGGGGCTCAAAAAACTAAGTCCAGCCCTGTCCACTCACAACAGTCACAAGAAATATTATAATATAATATAATATAATAAGCATCCGACGTCTCCAAAGTATACTCCCTGCCTTATTGGTTCCTCTTCGATGGGAGTCCTGGGAACCGCAGTGAAGTGCCTTGCTGAGGAACATGATCTCCACATGATCAATGTGGATTACTTGGTCTGCTGGTAACTTCTACATTGCTGCGACTTGACGCTTTGTGTCTCGTAGGTTGTGAAGGTGGTCTGACTCCTGGTGAGCAGCGGGACACCCTACAGGATTTTCGTAAGGTATGAAGGTACCACTGTCCCTTTTTTCGTCTTCTTCGCAGACTCATCAACCAGGTTATTGAACTTCACTCAGGTGCCATATTCGTACGATTATACTTCCCAAAGTATAAACGACTGGGTGGGTTTCCGTCTCAGCAAACAGAGGTTTTCTGTGTTGTCCTTGCATGGTCACTTCTTAGATCTCCCATTCGCAGTATGGGACCCCTGGGCGTGGCATGGAGATAGGAGTATAGGATGCATTGACTTCATCTCCTTAGGCTCTCTCCTTCGTGAGTGTGTGTCCCAGAATCCGTTGTGATGGCTCATCTCTTGTTGAACATGTAACAGGAAATATACACCAAGTAAGTTCTTAGAAGAAAAAATTTTGTAACTTTTCAATCGAAGTTTCTCTTGTTTGATGTGATTAACAACTTACATAAATATTTCTATGTGGTAATTGATCAATTACACCCCTTTTTATTTCTTCAACTAACCCTATCTACCCTTGCTTAAAATACTACAATGATTTCATTCTATTGAAGATCAGTACAGGTTCTCAGAAAAAAATTAAAAAAATATCCTCTACAATCAACTTGGTCTTCGTTCGATGTTTTCAAAAC